AAACGTTATTTATTGGATGTTTGCTTTTCGTAAAAGAGGTAATATGGCTTCAAATTTTGCAAGTAAACTTCCAGTATATCTTACTCAAAAAGAAGTTGAATATCTTGTCAACAGTATTTTTGATTTAGAATACTCTGATTCTGAAGAATCATGTAGTATTCACAGCGAAAGCAAAAGTGAATCTGAGCTTTCTGCAGATGAATATCATAATTTTCTAATAGTTGCAAACAAAATGATAATATTTATAGAGAAAAGAACCAAATTGTGCCTTACGAACACCAAAGCATAACATAATAATTCAGCTCCCTGGTCTGAAATATCCTGCAAAAATAGGCTCTAGAGCAGAGCCCGAAGATGCTTGGAATTTAGGTTCATACATATTGTTCCAGTCATATCCTGAAGCTAAAAAACTGAAAAGAAAAAATGTTATGCTTTTATTACCTAATCATTTTATGCATCTGAATGTTGAGATAACGTCCACTTTTTGGCTAAGGGAACTGAAGATAACAATTAGAAGAATCCTTGGATAAAAGGAAATTAAGAGAATGGATTTATCAAATCAAGAAGAAAGAAAAACATGTAGTCTGTGCCCACCTTGTAAGAAGAGAAAAACAGCATACAAATGCTTGGAATGCAAGGAACCACTATGTCTTCAATGCTCTCAAAATGTGTTTTGACTGTGTATCATCTTATGATTCATCCTTGTAAACAAAGATATACTAATCTATTATTTATTAATAATTAAATTCATTGTTATAGAATTATGGCTTAATTGACAGTAATACTTAATATAGTATTTCCATACACGTTTAATAAAATCTGTTTTTTAAAAACTTTGTTCCTTAAAACGAAGAAAACAGTCATTTTTTATATGAATTTAGCTGCGTTAAATTAAATTATTTATGCTTAAAATATATTGATTTTAATTAATTAGAATTCTATAAATATGCATACAGAAAGTATGCATCTTTATGAGTGTCTTTAAAGTGGTCCGTCAGACCGCTTACAGTAATTATGCCGAAAAAATTGTCACAGTTAAAGGTTAAGGACTTTTTGCCAATTCTGACTAAAATTAAGGATTAAGGATTAAAAACTTAAAATTAAGAATAAAAAATTGCTTTAAAAAAACTTAAGGGCTTTCAAAGAGAGTTATAAACCCTGTAACATGACTTTTAGAAAATAAAATGTGGGAATCAAAATAATAATAACAATAAATAGGTGACGAATAACTTACACTTGCAAATAAATTGTGAACAGAGAAAGAAAGTGGGAGGAATGCAAAAGAAATGGCTGTTACATCCAAACAATTTTATTGGTGTGATTATCAGCTTTGCACAGCTATTGCCAATTTTGCAATATTGTTTATATTTGTTTATATTTACTGAGTTCTCTGCAGGAGTGCATCTGAATCATCCATTTAACATGAAAAAGTGCATTAAAAGCATCAATTAAATGCTTATATAGACAAGTTTCCAGAATTCAAAGAATTTGTTTATAATCTTTTTTTGTCTTCAATTCTGATCAAGATTACAATGCAGATTTTCAATATACTCTTCATTAAACTCAATACACTTATCCCAATGAAAAATTAATTGATTATGCCATTCTCAAAGAGATTTTTGTGTCTTCTCAATCCCCCTATTTATGGTAAGGTAAAACTCTCAAATTGAACACCCGGTAAAGGTTTTTATAAATGTAGGAACAGAATACTCCTCATAGATATGAAACAATTTCTGAAATTCTCACATCCTCTTTCCACAATAAAACAATCGCTCACTGCTTCCATGACTGCAAAGACAGCACTATAAAAATGCATCTGTAACCTGTACGAGTTAAATAACTGAATTCAGATTTAATTGAACTGAATCGTGCAGTGTAATAACTGCATACTATAGCTGCTTAAACATGTCTAGAGTTAATTTAGAATTCAAATAACAAAAATCAGCATTATATTTGCAAATTTTCACAGGACTAGTTTTGGTGGTTTTACAGAACCATCATCTTCAGCTGCAAAAATATAATGCTGATTTTTGTTGTTTGAATTCTAAATTAATACTTGTTCGGAATATTATTTTATCTTAACGTCTAGGCTTGTCTGGCGTACAACACTGAATAGTTTTTAGAATGTTGAAAGCACCTTATGTATAATGAATTCATAGTTTTTATCATACAGATACAAAGAAATAGGAAATTTCTCATTTTACAAATTACAGGCAAAACCTTTTCCACTATAATGATGCATATGAATGCACTGACACATACTATAATGTGAAAATTAACTGGGACAAAAGGATTGTTTTGATAATTTAAGAACATTTATTCATATTCAGTGACAGTAATATAATTAAAAGGAAATATGTCCTCTTTTAGCATAAATGATCACTAAAATGCACCTGGGTATTGACTCAATCATGTATATACATTTTTTCTATTTATTATGAAATCATACTTTTATAGCATTCTTAATTAAGTGATCTTTTGTCATACAATCTATTTTGCTAAGATGTTCTTTGAGAATGAGCCACAAGTTTTTGATCCAATTTAAGTTTGAATTTCCAGACCAATCTAGCACAACAGTTTCATTTTCCAACATGAACATTCAGTTAGTCCATACATAGTACTCCTTGGATTATTGCCAAGCTGTTGTTTCAACTTGAGCAGCTGAATGTTATGGAAACCCTGTTATGACACGATTGATTGTGTTGTGTAATTGTGGTGATTTTGACCAATGGGAAAATATTTCTAAAGGCTTACTTAGATATGGATGTTGGTTAGGAAGTATGTTGCTTATTTTCTGCTTTACATTGTAAAATGCCTGCTGGTGGTACGATTAACCTGAAGTTTCTGTTCACTTTGGAACGATTGAGAAAGAAAACACCGATTGACTGGTATTTAAATGAAGATTTTAATGGCTTCGTTCACCTCATGGTAAATTACACAATGAGATTTAAGGATTTTGAAACCGGAGCTCATATCAACACAATGGAAGTAATAAAAAAAAATTTTCGAAAGAAATGCTACCAACAGTTTGGAGTACATTTTTCCTTTTGTGAATTAATGTGACGACGGCAGTATACAGATTCTAGTTTAAATAGTTTTTGGATGCTGTTAAGGAATTCTGTGTCATACATATCGAAGAAACCGAAATTTTTAAATAAGTAAATATTTCCTTTTTGTACTGCTTAGATAACATGCATTTCCCTTCTTACATGTTATTTCCTTGTTTGATTTCAAATGCAGTTTAATGAGATTATATATTTTTTGTTTTAATTATGTTCTATTGCATTATGTTTTGGAATCCATTTTACTAGGGAAGGCATTGGACACAAAACAGGAATGGCGCCAAAAATTCGCCAATTTTTGGCAAGGTGTACCCTGAAATATATTTTTACTGAACATTCCAACAGATTAACCAACAGATTCCAACAGTTGCATGAGGCCAAGTCATGTTGAAATGTCCTTGCACAGGTTTTCAGGAATGGTGCAATCCTAACTTTTAAAATTTCTATATGCTTTGAAAATTCCATTTTAGACTTCAAATGCCATCTGCACTGAAAAAAACATCAAAACATTTATTTCTGAGGTCTTAATGATTCACTCTTGCTTCATTTATGTTACATGTGTAACCACAAATAAGCAAATGATTCTCATCACTGGAAAATACCTTTTTACGGTCATTAATGTCCAAGATTTGCACATTTTGGCCCACAATAATTGTTTCTGCTTTATTTAATGTGTCAAAGCTGTTTTTAATTAGCTTTCTCGTCTTTTGGGGAAGTTTACACTGTGCATTAGAAGTATGCATATTAATACCAATACAAAAGGTATCTCTTTTAATATCTTGTTGGTTTTTGTTGGATAAATAATGCTATTTCAGAGTAGAAAGTAATCAGATTTTGGAGTTGCTTTCCTTTTCGTTTTACATTTACCCTTTCTTCCAGGAGAAAATGATCCAATCTCATTGTGTATCCAATTTCACTGTCTCTCCCCAAAATTTGAGAAATGCTTGATTTTTCAACACCCACAACAGAAGTAACATTTTTATAATCACAGAAGCAAGACTCTTAAATCCAATATCTCTACTCTCTCTTTCTAAGCATCATATCCATTTTTAATGTACTAAAATGAATGAATGCAAAATGTATTTAAAAAGCATGCAGAAGTAACTTCCCCTTTTCACAGAAATAAGTTTAAAAATGGTACAATAATCCGATGTTATTGTCTAAACTACTTCTAAGTAGTCAAAAGCAGACATCCAAACAACATTAAGGCAGATAAATCTGCTTTGAGGGACTTGCTGACAACCAACATAAACTTCTGTGAAAAAAAAACCTCTGTCAAAATTAATTTATCCACTACAGTATTTTCATCTGAGAAAATGAAACTATGAGTAAATAATTCATAATAAAAGTTTTTTTATTCCCAAGAAAAAACAGAGTTAAATGTTACACAATTCCCCTAAATTGCAACTTAACGAAAAAATAAATCTATTACCATAACACAGAATTAGACACTCCATGATCCATAACATATAATAATTAAGATCTTATAAATAATTACACAGTGCTGTACATTAGTTTAGCACTCAAAATTTCAAACAGTGTAATTATTGCAGTTAAAATATCTGGCACTGTTAATTAGTGAAAACACATTTGTTATGTTAAAGTTTCTATATTAAAGCTCTTTTTATGTATCACTTAATAAAGAGAAGCTATATTTTATTGGCACAAAGCAATATTATAAGCAGAGAGTAATAAATAATATGATAAACGCTATCAATATAACTAAAGGATGAAAAACTAAGGAAGGCCCTAATTGAAATCATGTTAATTTAGATCAAAGTAATACTATTATTATTCAATGACAATTTGATAAAAGGCTACCACTGATATAACAAATTTCTATCGTTTAGAAACTAAACTTATCAGATTACTTAATTTTTACCATAGAACAGAGACACGTTTGCATAAAATATTTCAACTAAGGAAATCATTTCATACCTGGTAAAGACCACTTCTTGTGAGTTAATTTATCGTCCTTAACGCTAATGCTATTTTTCAATAAAATATACCCAGTGTAACAAGTTAATATACAATATATCAAAAAAGCTATAAATGTAACTGTTCTAAGGCATATTATCATGGCACAATAGTCAACTTTCACTATATATATAGCCTTCGTTGAAAAACAAAACTCAACAGTAGCAAGTCCGAGTGACATGTTGCCACAAACGTTTCGGAAAACAATTTCATGAAATCCCGCCATCAAGGATCAAGAGAGATAAAATAATTATATCAAAAGAGGGGTTCATCTAATACAGGAAAACTTTAGAAGCCTAATTTATAAAATAAAAGCTAAATATAAAATAATTTATAAAATAAAAGCTAATATAAAAATAAAAACTTTTCAGATAATGCCTTCCGCGTGAGAAAAAAGGTAAAACTCATAGAAGGTCTTTTTATTTAAATTTCCTGTCTAAAAGGGACCAGAATTCAATTTGGAGGGCAGTCATCATTCATAAAATTTGGAATAGAATTAAAAGGTGCAAAATGTTTCCTTGATATCAACAATAAAATAAAAATCCTAAGAACAAGCAGTCCGGATGAAAAGAGCTAGCGCAAGTTCAGTGAACTTGCACCCACTCGGGGCGAAATAGGCGGGGGGGGGGCGGACCCATTAGGCGGGTTCTAGAAGCAAGTCAGAGTAACAGCTGATGGAGTAACCCCTTTCTAAGAGGTAACCATCAATCAGGAAAAATATTTTGTTCTAAAAGAAATACTAAATCTGAAGAGCAAATTTTTATTCGCGTTTTCTTTATTCTATTTAGAACATTTTATGCTGTTATTAACTTAATATTAAAAATAATGAACAATGGAGCAAGGAGGTCTTATGAACGTATAAATAATAACCAATGTAGAGCTATATAGAGAGATAGAGCCCTTTATAGTAGCCTTAGTTAAGGACATCGAGGGTCCTGCACCAAAGATTTTATGCAAGAAACGCCTAGCAGAGCAGAGGAGCCGATTGCACCTCAGAATAGGCCGAGGGAGCTTCAGTGTTTCGTCTGGTCTGAGTTTTACTGAAGAAAGATCAAGGGGAAATTTTAAGGCCAAAATAGCGAGAAGAGGACACGAAGAATCTTCAAGGACGTTGAAAAGTTGCAAGAATCCGAGAAAGACCCCAGAAGAGGAAAGCTCAACCGGATGATGAAACTCAGCTCCCGAAGACGATTCCGCATGCTGCAAGTCAACGTTTATTCCTCGTGACAGGACTTTCTTAGGAAAAGGGTGGAGGAATTACGAAACGCAAAAAGATAAGTGAATATTTATTTTTTCATAGTGTATTCAGTTTTTATTTTATGTGTAAATGTACAAGAATTGTTATTTTATTTTGAATTTTACCTCAAGTGAGGTTATTTTGTAGGGTTTTCCTTATAGTTTGAATAACCAATTATTTTAATCTTGGTATCTATTCTAAAGTTCTTATTTTCCCTCGTATTTCCTGGTCAGGATGCACATTAAGTCAAGTGAAAAGAGTATTTAAACTGGCAAAACGAGAAAGTTAGACAGAGCGTGATTTAGCTAGTTAGCGCAGGTTGCTATTCTGTCCTCTAACTGTTAATCTACTCAATTGCGGCTACGCATTCTGGCCGTTTATTAACGTTTTAACTGTCATGCCCGAGATTATCTCGGGCACAGCACTGGTGTTCGAAAATGTCACGCCCGAGCATTTCTCGGGGTAATTTTTTTTTGAGTGCATCGTGTTGTCATACCCGAATATATATCGGGAGATGTTTATTTCGGATACATTTGGTTTTTCCAATAAAAAAAATTTGACAATTTGTGTACCCAAATCATCAAAATAACTTGACAGTTAAAGGGTTAAATCTCTCACCGATGCAGGCTGTTGAATCAGCATGTTAGCTTTAAGTAAACTGTATAGTCGAGCACTATGATTTATCTTTTCGAATTTATCATTAAATTTAAGTCTCACCGCAAGTAGTCGGTGTTTTGTGAGCACGAAGTACGTGCATATTTGTTAAAGAGTTTTCGAATTAAAATCCACCTTACACCCTTTCCATGTGTTGTTATTCTTCATGAATGTCCACTTTACACCCTTTCCATGTATAGTTATTCTTCATGAATGCGTCACAAGGCTTTACTACTAAGATCAAGATCACTTGTATGATAGCGAAGAGAGTGAAATCTTATAATTTGAGTTCTTGTGTCGAATGGAAACAGAGTGACAGCGCGCTTTTGCTCTGCATCCGATAAAAGAATGTCTGGAACAACAAAAGGAAACTATGAAGAATCAAGTTGGTAGAATGGAATATTTCACTTAGCCGCCATCTGTCGGCGAAGAAAGATGAAATGAATGAAAATAGACCAGCAATGTGAAAAAAAGCTGGATCAGTAAGGTAGTAGGTACTTCAAATAATTAACAAAATGTTAGGTTAGAATATCCGAAGGATATTTGTGTTTTGCTCTAGGAAAAGTGAGCATCGCAAAGAGCTGATACAGCTGTTTGGATGTAATAGTACAGAAAGGAAAAAAATTTTTGCAAGTTTTTTGATATAATTTTGTATAGTATCAATTTGAAGATCCCTGTGAATATATGAATTTGGGATGAACCAGGGTGCATTAATAATTTCACGAAGGGTTTTATTTTGAATAACTTGGAACTTTTTTATGTGGGTTTTAGCGGCGTGTTCCCATACCGGACGGGCGTAAAGTAAAGTAGGTCTAAGGATGGACTTGTATAAAATAAGCTGGTTAATCTTTGGATTATGGTAACTTGGCGATTTCTGGCGAAAAGTTGGCGACCAACACTGCTACAGCAACCTGCTAGTTTTTGTTTGGACGCCATTTTGTTTTCACGAAGTAAAGGCATGTTTTTTTTTTAATCAACATTTTTTTCCAACAATCTGCTAGCCGAATTACGCTTATGCTAGAACTTTTATGGTACAAAAGTGCTTAATCATGACGAAGATTAGGTGCGAAAGTGGGAGAAAGTGCAGAATCGCAAACTGCTTGCCGCGTTTTTAAGAATTGCACATACATGGTATCCATGTAAACGTCGACCTATTTTCACTTAAAAAAACATCCCAGAATTGCACAAAAATGGCATTGCGCACACTGTTGACTTTATCCATGTACACTGCTAAAGTCCTAGCTAGTAACCTTTATCGCCTTACCAAAATGTCGCCAAACTACCTGTTACAATATTCCAAAGATTAGCCAATAAGCTTATTGTTAATAGATTACTATGTCTGCCGAGGAGAGAACGCATAGTAGCTATTGAGATATTAAATTTCTTGACAGTTTCGTGTAAATGTATAATTTGAGTTGTTTTAAGTAGCAAAAAGCTCAAATGTTAAATGTGCAATTATTCTTATTAATTTCAAGCTAGTCTAAAAATAGGAACTTTGTTTTAATCAGAGAGACTCATGTGAGGAACACTGGCGAAATAGTTTAGCAAATTCGTAAAATAGTTTTGAACAATTTATGTGCCTTGATGTAAATTTCAAGGAAATTTTTTTAATTTTATGTATTGTAAATGTTTAATTTAGTGGAGTATGTCTAATGTTTTCGCGTTCTAAATGGTAAAATTACTGTTAAATATATGTGTTAAAGTAAATTAAAAGTTTGCATAGTTGCAAAAATTAAAATCTTACAGTGTGAACGAGATATTTAAATGTAATCCAGCAAATTAAGAGAAATTTAAGCTAGCTGTGCGCATGAGTTAAAGATTAGTTGTCCAGCTAACTCGAAACTTAATTACTATCTTGTTAGCACATTAGGTGCAGTTTTGAAAGTAAGGTGATTCTGAGGTCTAACGAATCTAAATTTCTAATAGGCAGAATAGTTAGGTGGTAGTGTCGTGCCATTTGTACAAAAGACGCTTGTTCAATCATTTCAGTATATTCTTACTGGAGAGCAGTGAGGAAGATATTTATTGACAGAATATATGAGTTGCATGAAAGTTCGGATAAAATTGTATGAAACCTTTTGAATGAAATGGTTAAATAAGAAAAGGCTTAGAAAAGGTGAAGTAAATTGAAGTTATGAAATGTCAACTGAGTTTTCCTGCTAAAATCTTTCCATTACAGATGACTGGAAGCGGATCAGCATCTGATTTATTGTAAATGGAAGAAAACTGTGTCACGATCCAACTCGTCGTCATTCAGATGTAAGCTAGTTAAGTTAGTGTAAGGTCAATGTTCTTGTAAGATGTAGGCTTACCACTAATTTATGTTCTTAAGAAGGTCGTTAAATATCTTTGTTGCATGTACTTAAATTCTGGCAGGGAAAGTTGTAGAGTTTTCTTAACCACCTATTTTATGTTAATTAGCTTTTCTGTCTTTGTAGTTTTCCAGTTTCCTGCCAGAATGCTAATTTCTAGTTCGCGCGTATTGAAATGAGGTAGAAAGAGATAATATTTAAAAACAGAGGGTTTTCCGCATGCTAAAGGCCACATTACCAGTTGTTTCTCAATAGTTTATGTGCGACATTGGGTTATTCCCGGTATAAGGTTTGTCACGCCGAACCAACTTGTCTGACCAAACTTGCACGTTTCTGCCCTTGCCTTTGGTAACTAATTTACTATTTAGTTTCGTTTTCTTACTTTTGATTTATACCATAAATGCTGGCGTGTTCTGTAAGCACAAGTTGTGCCTTCTGTTAAATTATCTGAGTTAATAAATGAGTCTTTTATACCCGTTTGAAGTCTCTGTTGCAATTACCGAGGCACAGCGAGGAGTTAAGTCTTCAGACTTTTTGCTCAGTTTATGTTACCAAAGAAAATGGGACTCTATATGACAAAGTTCTACAAAGGTTAAAAGAACCTTTTTATTAGGCCTTACAAATTGACAGAAGGGATAACTAGAACTTACGAACAAACTCAAATTTACAATATTTAAAATAACATAACTTCAGATTCAAGTTAGATACTCGGAAACTGCACAGACGGTCTGTTTAAGAACGGCATGTTAAACGGCGGCTGGTGAAAATGGCTAAAGCTGGAATATCTCTGGCAGAACGACGACATGGACGTAAACAGCGGGTAAGGCTGCCAAAAGCTATAAGAATAAAACTTTCATAATCTTCGACTTAAACACACCTAATTTACATTCTGGTGAGAACAACGGGGGGACTATATTTTAAGTCATTATAATTAATTAATTAAAATGAAATTCTTACACTCTTACT